GATCAGTCCCCTGTGAAGATCTGCCCCCCCGTGTCATTACCCACACCAAGCAAGATCAGTCCGCCATGAAGATCTTGCCCCCCTTGTCATTAACCCCCCACCAGTGAGCACAAGCTCCGTCCCACCCCATTAAGATATGCCCACCTTGTCATTAGTCCCCCAGTCAAGATCAGTCCCACAGTGAAGATCTGCCTAGTTTGTCATTATTTGTATTGGTTTTATGGTCCCACGAGAAATGTCAAAGCTAACCGTATGTCACACACAAATGATCAGTCCGCCATGTCATAAGATCTAGCCCCCCCCACCTTTGTCACCCCACCCCCCCCCCCCCAACAAGATCACGTCCCACAACCACGTTAAGATCTGCCCCCGCCAGCAAGATCAGTCCCCCCAGTACTGAACAGATCTGCACACCCTTGTCATTTTCCCCCCCAAGAGTCAGTCCCCAGTGAAAGATAATGAACCTCCCCTTGTCATTCCCCTCCACACAAGATCAGTGCCCCCACAGTGAAGATCTAGCCCCCCCTTGACCATTGTTATCCCCCAGTTCAAGAATCAGTCCGTCGTGAAGATCTGCCCCCCTTCTCATCCTCCCCCAAGATCAGTCACCCCCCCGTGAAGATCTGCCCCCCTTGTCCGCATTGTATTATATCCCCAGCACGAATCATCCACCTCCGTGAAGATCTGCCCACGCCTTCTCACCCAAAACCCCTCAAAGATCCTAGTCCCCCCCCGTGAAGATCTGCCCCCCTTGTCATTCCCCTCCCCAAGATCAAGTGCCACCGTTGCGCGTCCAAGATCTGCCCCCCCCTTGTCATAATCCCCCCATAAGCAAGATCAGTCCTCAGGACCCATGTCCTATCCCCACAACCTTAGAAGATCAGATGCCCCCTTGAAGATCATCTCCCCCACCTCCCCCGATCAGAGATCCCCCCCAGAAAAGATCAGTCCCTCCGTGAAGATCTGCCCCCCCCTTGTCATTATTTCCCTCACAAGCACGATCAGTCCCCCGTGAAAAGATCATTGGCCCCCTTCCAGTCATATCCCCCCCCCCAAGATCAGTCCCCAGTGAAGATCTGCCCACCCCGTTGTCATTACCACCCAGCAAGATCAGTCCCCGGTGAAAATATGCCCCCCTTGTCATATTCATCCCCCCAGCAAGATCAGTCCCTGTGAAGATCTGCCCATGCCCCCCTTCTCATTCCCCCCCCAAGAGTCATTGAGATCCCCCCCCCATTATCCCCGTGAAGATAGATCTGTCCGTGAGATCTGGCCCCTTTCTCATTATCCCCAGCAGATAAACGATCAGTCCCACCGTGAAGATCTGGGCCCCCCTTCTTGTCATCACCCCTCCCCAAAGGAGATCAGTCTCCCCCCTGTGAAGATATCTGCCCCCCTTGTCATTCCCCCCACGAAGATCAGTCCCCCCGTGAAGATCTGCCCCCCCCTTGTCATTATCCCCCCAGCACAGATCAGTCCCACCCCGTGAAGAATTCGGCCCCCTTCAAACATTCCCCCCCCAAGATCAGTCTCCCGTGAAGATCTGCCCCCCTTGGTCATTATCCGTTCCCCAGCACGATCAGTCCCCGGTGAAGATCTGCCCCCCTTGTCATTATCCCCCACAAGATCAGTCCCCTCTGTGAAGATCTGCCCCCCTTGTCATTCCCCTCCCCAAGATCAGTCCCCCGTGAAGATCTGCCCCTTTCCTTGTCATTATCCCCCAGCAAGATCAGTCTGCCGTGAAGATCTGCCCCCCTTGTCATGTCCCCCCCCCCCCCCAGCAAGATCAGTCCCCCGTGAAGATGTGCCCCCCTTGTCATTATTCCCCAGCAAGATTAGTCCCCGTGAAGATGTGCCCCCTTGTCATTACCCCCCCATGATACAGCAAGATCAGTCCCCCGTGAAGATCTGCCCCCCGTGTCATTCCCCCCCCAGCAAGATCAGTCCCCTGTGAAGATCTGCCCCCCCTTGTCATTATCCCCAAGATCAGTCCCCAGCAAGATTCAGTCCCCCCGTGAAGATCTGCCCCCGTTGTCATTCCCCCCCAGCAAGATTCAGTCCCCCGTGAAGATCTGCCCCCTTGTCATTCCCCCCGCAAGATCAGTCCCCCGTGAAGGTGTGCCCCCCTTGTCATTATTCCCCCCCCAGCAAAATCAGTCCCCGTGAAGATGTGCCCCCCTTGTCATTACCCCCCCAGCAGCAAGATCAGTCCCCCGTGAAGATGTGCCCCCCTTGTCATTATCCCCCAGCAAGATCAGTCCCCCGTGAAGATCTGCCCCCTTTGTCATTCCCCGCCCTAGCAAGATCAGTCCCCTGTGAAGATCTGCGCCCCCTTGTCATTCCCTTCCCCAAGATCAGTCCCCCCCGTGAAGACGTGCCCCCCCTTGTCATTATATCCCCAGCAAAATCAGTCCCCCCATGAAGATCTGCCCCCCCTTGTCATTACCACCCAGCAAGATCAGTCCCCCGTTGAAGATCTGTCCCCCTTCTCATCCTCCCCCCCCAAGATCAGTCCACCGTGAAGATCTGTCCCCCCTTGTCATTCCCCCCCAGATCAGTCCCAAGATCAATCCGCCGTGAAGATCTGCCCCCCCCTTGTGTCATGATCCCCCCCCCAAGATCAGTACCCCATGAAGATCTGCCCCTCTTGTCATTACCCCCCCAAGATCAGTACCCCATGAAGATCTGCCCCCTCTTGTCATTCCCCCCCCAATCCCAAGATCGGTACCCCCCCGTGAAGATCTGCCCCCATTGTCATTACCCCCCCCCCCCGATGAAGTACCCCATTGTGAAGACCCCCCCACACCCCGGATAAGTACCCCGTGAAGATCTGCCCCCATTGACGCAAGCAACACCCTCCCCCCCCCCTAATGCAGCAAACCTCACGTGCAGATCTGCCCCACCCCCTTGACGCAAACACACACCACACACCCCCCCCTCAGTCCCCCGTGAACCTCTGCCCCACTTGACGCAAATCCCCACCCCCATGTGACTGGCCCCCATGTATAACTGCACCACCAAAACATGTTATGGCCCCCCCATGTCACTGATCCCCCCACATGTGAGTGTACTCGCCATGTCACAACCCCTTGCAGCTTGGCGACATGTTGCGGTAGGATCGTCAGCAGCAGTGTTCTAAGGGATGTGATTCAGCGGATAGTGTAATTGCAATCCAGCATAAAAGGGGTTAACAGTGTAACAGAGCGAGATCGCCGATCGTCTGCTTATGCCTGAAACTGGCACATGCTCAGTTGTGTGAAGGGGGGCAGATCTTCACGGGGGACAGATGTGACCTGTCAAATGCAAAGCCAGAAGATGCCTTTAGTTGGACAGAGTCCCTGGACCACGATTCCCTCACACCGCCAGCAGACCTGTGCAGCAGAGAATGGAGCGTTACTTATCCTTCATCCAGAGATACTGCTGACAGCCCACTAGTACTGCTGGGCAGGAATCAGCAGAAGTTCAGGAGATGCTGGCCTCATCCATCAACCCTGACCGATCTGCCTATAAGGAGCCAGACTGGGAGGACAGCCAGTCCTCAGGTGAGCCAGCAGAGAGTTTCAGTGGTGGGGAGGTGGACTGGGAGTCAACCAGACTACTAGCCAAGTTTGGACCCCTAGAGGTGGAAGAGCAGGAAGAGTGATTCTTAGATGATACTGAGGAGGAATAGGACTTGGGGGACACCACAGAGGACATTGATTTTCTGGCAGAGCAGTCAGGAAGCTCTTGCACCCCAGATTCTGCTGGACCTCCTTGCAGGACAGAGCCTGTCCATGTGCCACCCCAGCCTTTAAGGGGACCTTACCCAACCAAGGCCTAGAATAGGTTCCTGGATATCAAGAAGGAGTGGAGCAGAGGCCGGGCTATTTATAAGGACCAGGTGGTAGCTGTCAAAGCAGGACAGGCAATGCACAGTTACTTTATAAACTGCCCAGAGAACTGATGGTTCCATGGTGAAACTGCCCAGCCCATGCCAATACTGCTGATTGATTGAAGCAGGATCCCAACCCAGCAGGTCTTGTTGTTCCTGAACCCTTTCTCTTTTGCAGCCTAGGCCAAACTCCTGTTCTGCATTTTCCCCAGTGTGCTGCTTTGAGGGGGAAGCTGGGATGCTGCCTACCATTACTAACTTACTTAGAATGTTGTTCTCAAAGAACATTCTAAAAAAAAAAGGACACTTTGCAGTTAGTTTTTTCACTGAAGTGCCTTAAAATGCTAAACTGTATCAGTCAGTCAGTGTTAGGACTGTATATTTTTCTTCCTGGGGGAGGTGCTCCATACATATTCTATACACATGTATGTATGTTGTTGTGCATTTCTATTCTTTGCTTGCTGTACCTAAAGAAAGCTAAAGTCAGGTTGTAGATACATGTATTTCTGTAAATATGTATTTTATTCATAACATATATTTTTCTACAAATATTTATTTTTAAATATTTCATCCCCTTCCAAGTTTATTCCCTTGTCCCATCCCTTTTTCTGTATGGGATGCCCCGTTCCTGGGCTCAGGAATAATTTTTTGTTTGTATCCCAGCTAATGAGGATATGGCTGGTCTTTTATACCCACTTCTGAGACTTTTTCAGTATTTAACCACTTGTCTATAGGGCACTTATACCCCCTTCCTGCCCTGGCCAGTTTTCAGCTTTCAGCGCTGTCACAATTTGAATGACAATTGCGCGGTCATGCAACATATGACATTTTTATCATTTTTATTTTTTTTAGACAGATAAAGCTTTCTTTTGGTGGTATTTTAATCACCTCTGGGTTTTTTATTTTTTGCTACACAAACCAAAAACAACTGAAAATTAAAAAAAAAACGTTTTTTTCTTAGTTTTTGTTATAAAATGTTGTAAATAAGTGATTTTTCTTCTTCACTGATATGTGCTACTTAGGCTGCAGTGATGGGCACTGATAGGCTGCACTGATGGGCACTGATAGGTGGCACTGATGGGCACTGATGAGGAGGCACTAGTAGGTGGCACTGATGGGCATTGAAAAGCATCACTGATGGGCACTAAAAGGCAGCACTCATATATGGCACTGATAGGCGGCACTGATAGGCGGCACTGATAGGCGACACTGACTGGTACTGATAGGTGGCACTGACTGGCACTGTTAGGCGGCACTGATAGGCGCCACTGATGTGCACTGATAGGCGGTACTGCCTGGCAGCACTGATAGGTGGCACTGACTGGCACTGATAGGTGACACTGAAAGGCAGCTCAGATGGGCAATGATATGTGGCATTAATGGGTACAGGTATGCACTAATATTTGGAATTGATGAGGCACTGATGGGCACTGGCAAGTGGCATTGATGGGCAATGACAGCTGGCATTGATGGGCACTGACATGTGGCACTGCTGGTGATACACTGATCATCAGGGCACACTGATCATCAGTGCCCTGATGATCAGTGTACACGTCCCCTCTGAGGATGCCGATTACCGGCTCTCCTCTCGAGCTTTCAATGTGACAACTTGTGAGGAGAGAAATGCCGATAACCGGAATTTCCCTATTTACATGCGATCAGCTGTGATTGGACACAGCTGATCACATGACCGAGCCGACATCTTCGGCTCTTTCCGTTGATCGGTGAGCCGCTGTGTCCAGAGGACACAGCACACCACCGATCGCCAAGCTGAGTGCTCCCGGAGGCGCGCATGCGCGGTTAGAGTGGGAGGTCCTCCCAGAATGAGAAAACTGCCTTGCGCCCGTCATTACCTTATATGGGGGGGCGGGAGGCGATTAAACTGATTGTGTACTGGACATTGGGAAAGATTTAGTAAAGCTGGTGCACACAGAATCTGGTGCAGCTGTGCATAGAACCAATCAGCTTCTAACTTGAGCTTGTTCAACTAAGTTTTGACAAAAAACCCTAGAAGCCGATTGGTTATAATGCACAGCTGCACCAGATTCTGTGTGCACCCGTTTTAGTAAATTACCCAATTGCCTCCTTCTGTACATAGTATCACAAAAATCAGAGTACTCTAATGACTGTCTCTGTACGAGTGTTTGGGGAATATAGCTCAGTGTGGCATTACCTACTTCAGCTCCTGTTTCTATAATCCAAGCAAGCTTATTCTACTGGTATATGCTTCCCCCAGAAATGCCATATTCACTGGTCAGAATGTACAGGAGGCTGAAAAAAGGAAAAAATAAAAGAGATGATGTGGTTTCAGAAGTGCAGTTGTCCACAGGGGATGGGTGGGGACTGGTGTCTCTCTGGATCCTAGTCAGTGCGATGTGCAGATGGGTTAGTTTAGGCAGCAGGCAGAGACATGATCAGCAAACAGGCAAAGGATTGGTCCAGACAGCAGAAAAAATGTGATCAATAAACAGGCCAGGGTCAGTGCAGGCAGCAGGCAGAATCATCACTGCACTAGGCTGGGGGTGATCAGGGACTGTCACGTACCTGATGGGAGACCGAAATGACGAGGTCGGCCTCACTTGTGTCACTAGCCCTGACCCCACTGGAGTTGGAACAGAGGGAATCTAGGACCCAGGGGAACAAGAGCGCCAGTAGTTGTTTGTAGCTCTTGCAGATGATGACCCTGGAAAACTGATGATCTTCTGATTCAGGCACAGTAGTAGCAAGCAGAGCAGGTCTTGTAGATTGCCAGGCGTGCACCAGAGCAAGGCAGGTAGTGAGGGTAAGAGACAGGAGTAGTGTCATGGGAATAGCCAGGGTCATCAACAGTCGGGCAGCACGGTACAGAATCAGAAGGAAAGCCAAGGTCAGGAGCAGAGCCGAAAGCCGAAGTCAGGAACCAGTATCAATCAGGAGAGCAATCAGAGTCAGGTAAGGAACAAGCCGGGTCAGCAACAAAGGAATCACACAGGAACAAGCAAGACACGGGGGAGCTGAAGACCAGTCAGCACTCAACATGGGCAGAGACACTCTTTAATATAGGCCGTCTGGCGCCAATCTTTGCCGAGCGTGTGCACGATCGCACATTTCTGCTCGCATGCGCACAACCGGTAATTCTTCTCCAGGAATTCCTATGCGCATTTCTGATTGCGATTTGTCTTGCCGGAAATCCCTTACAGGGACACTATTAATGGCTGCACTGGTTCTGGTGATACTAGCACCTGTGTGGTTATCAATTAGGAATATTGCTGCTGGCTGCACTGGTCTGGTAACATTGTCACTGGTGTGGCAGTGATGCAATGTTGTTGCATTCAATGAGCACAGTGACCCATTAAAGTGAATTTGGGCACTTGTGTGGGGACCAAGGGGTTAAAGCAGGTCGTGAAGAGACAATGCATCTCCTCCTCACCACCTGTCAAATGCTCTCTTAGGAGTAATATGAACAAGGATCACTCGTCAGAGAGTACCACACGCGTGAACAAGACCTTATGGTGACACTGGGACTGGTGTGGTTGTGATATTTTCTTACATACTGTCAACAGAGCAGTATCCTGTCCTGGCACTGACTACAGAGGAATTTTGAGGGAGACAGTGCTGAATACTAAAAAATCCCTCCCCCAGTTCTTCATGACACACTCACTCTAGTCCAGCCTTAAGGGCAATGAGTGGAGTCACTGCACTATTCACAGAGCCCTGCATTCACATTCCAGGTCCAGTCCCTAGGAGGATCCTATACCACAGTAGGCCTTATGATAAGGACCCTACCGCACAGTAGAGTGCCCTGTGCCCAACCATCTCTGCCTGCAGAATCTTTTTCACTGGCCACCACTGCTCCCCACCTGACTGTTTCTCTTTCCTGACACTCTTCTCTTCACAACTCCAAGGGGTACACACTCTGTTTCAAAACCCCAAGGGTTAACTTTGTATTAACACACACTTGACTGTATAACCTAAAGGGCTCATTTACACAGGTACTCTTCCTTCCCCAAGTTCTTTTGATACACTATGTAACACCCTGCTACAAGTGGATGCAGGATGTTATAACAAACGCAAGATATCAGTGTCCTGCAGAGCAGTGGTATTCACACTTTGTAGAGCAGACCCATAGAACTTGTGTGTTAAACCACAGGACTTTGCTAAGGATCAATGTAGTAAAGAACTACATTTCCCAGAGGAGCTGGTGTGTGTGCAGAGGTGTGTGTGTGCGTAATATATATATATTACACACACACACCTCTGCATATATATTTTTATATATATATATATATATATATATATATATATATATATATATATATAAAAAATCCTGGGAGATGAGACAGGAAGTGATGAGAGGGGAGAGATCTGGAGAGAGAAGTGCACTGACTGTGGGAGGATTGGACTAGGCTGACCTTGTTGCATCGTGGAGAAAGTTAATCTTCTAGCAGGTGACCTAACAGAGTGCTGCAGGTGGGACTAGAGAGTGTGTGGGGGCCTTATCGAAGGAGAGAGAAAGACCACCAGAATTCACCAGGCACCATCCCTCAAGTGAGAGTCCCAAGCATTATCAGGGACAAGGAACACTGACACCTGCTCCACCTTTTCTATTTTCCTGCACACAGTTTCAGACATTGCACATAGTTATTAGAAGTTGTGGCCTAGTTCATTTAGCCGCTATTGTCTTACTACACTTGGCACATCCTTAGCATCAGAACTGATAGCAGGACCGTTGGTCCACAGGGCAAACCACTGCTGTATCACCATCATCATCAATTCACTCTACTAAGGGTGCCTTTTCCTTATTGTGCCAAAAGTCTTGTAGCCCAAAGAAGAGTTGCCCTGTGCCAACAATCACTTTTACCAGATTGGCCACGTGTTGCTTTAGATTTGCTAGTGACTAGTGCCTTAAAGGAACATTACACCTGTGAAATTGCTGCTTGCAGAGGGAGTGTGTTATTCTTCCCTATATTTATTACACTGTTCCTCAGAGAGTTTCAGTCCACACTTCTCTTCAATGTGCACCAACTGGGCCCCATCACACATGCAGAAGACTCTTCATTGCTTTTAAAAAACATGGGTTGTTTTGGGGTAAAGAGCTCTTTTCCTTATTTCCTTGCCATCAGGTCCTGAGGGCCCAAAGTGAGCTAGTCTACCTGTTTGATAGTCCTAGCTGTTCACTGGGGACTGTAAGACCACCTCAGGTTGAAGGTATTGAGCTAGTTTCTGAAAAGCAATCCTGCTAAAACTAATTGAGTGTTGTCTTTTCTTTAATTTCAAATCAACACAAGTAACAATTGCTAAATAAATATAGGTGCTTGCTAAATTCCTAATAATACACCAAAAATACAGAATAACAAATCTGTGAAGAGTAGAAAATAAAAAAATGAGAAACAAAAAAAAAGTAAATGTTGTAATGGCAATTTTGGGCCCACATCTTCATGAAGGTTATTGACTGTTGGGGGATTACACTACAAAAGACTCAATGGAGCTGAGGGGGGTGGAAGGCAACTTGAATTTCCTGTTCTTTTCTTTTATTTAAACTGATCATTGCTCTGAAGCCCACCCATTTGAGGTGTGATTTACTTGGGTGGGTGGTTCTTGGGATGGTCTTTTGTAAAGTGCATAAAACACCTTGGACAAAGGATAAGCCCTCTCTTTATCGTGTGTGCCTTCCAGGAGCCAGACCTCACAACATCAGGGTGTCTGTAATGTATATTACCATTGCTCTGTCTTTTTTTCTTGTAACTATCTCTTTCTTGTAGCCTTTGTATTGATAACATTCTGTATTATATTTTTCTTGTATTTGATTAATAGAAAGCTTCCTTGCTGTGTAAATAAATTAGATCTTTATTTTTTTGCACAGTGGTTATCTTTTAATATTAACACTATTGGCTAAATTCAGGTATAGACAAAAGGTTATAATCACTTATTACATTTATAATCTGTATAGAATCAAGTAAATAAGTGTGGATAGGAAAACCGCCAAAACAAATGGTGCCCCTTTAGTGAGGAAGTCTGAATGTTTAGGTAAATGTTACTTCTTGTGTGGAATAGATAATTATTTACATCTTTCTTTGTTTTCATGTCTATCTTCCATTTCTGTCTAAAATACCTAGACTAGTAAGCTTTGTCGAATGTCATTTTTACCTTTTGTCTTTACTAATATTTTGATGAGACTGATTATGAACAGTATAATTGAATTAAAATTGTACTGAGAGTGTATAAGGAAACATCATAACTGCTGGGTTGCACCTATTGCAGCGGTGTGTGAGTATGAATGAAAGAGATCTGACTGAACTTAAGAGGCAGTGAAATAAACCATAGGATCTGTGCCATTCTGCCTAAAGGTTTTCAGTTGACTCTCGAATTAGATTTTTGGTCAAGATGCTTCCCAATCTTTGCGATTGAAACATACCTGTGGGCCTAAATCACATTGAATGATCTTGTTGTGTATGGATCTGTCCTCTTTGTAATTTAGTAACTGTAGATTGTAAGCGTGTAGTTAGATCTGTGAGAACCAGCTCTATTG